CGGAGGCAGCAGTCGGCCCTGGCGCAGCCCGCGGCCAGCCCCTACCCCGAGGCGGTGGAGCGGCAGCGCCGGAGCCTGCCCATCTTCCCGGCGCGGGGGCAGCTGCTGGCCCAGCTCCGGAACCTGGACAGCGCCGTCCTCATCGGTGAGCGGCGCGAGGGGCTCGGGGCTCAGAGGGGAGGGTCCGGGGGGCGGCGGCCGACGGAGGCGGCCCCCGGGGCAGCGCGGTGCGCGCACGGGGACGGGCCTGCTGCGGGGGAGCCGCCGGGAGGGGAGAGGCAGGCGGGGCTGACGCGAAGTCGCAGCCTCTGGTGCGCGAACGGGGAGGCGGGCTTGTGACTCGGGGGCGTTGGTCTCCAGCGCTCAAGTTAGGAAGAGCTCCCGAAGGACGGCGGGGACGAGCGCTCGAAGCGGAGGGAGACCCGGGAGGGCGAGAGTCAGAGGAGTAGGGTCGTAGGAAGAAGGGAGCGAACGGATGCAGCGGTGAGGCCCCGCACAGGTACCCAGACCGTGCCCCCTGGATTTGGGCGCGGGGTACCGACTGTGCATGCCATTGAGCGCGCCTTCGGCAAAGCTGGGGGGTAGGAGCAGACTTACCACCGGGCTGAGGGCTGAGTAGGCGCTGAGGGGAGGAAGGCGTGAGAGCAGGCTTCTGCGGGAGGAAGGGGAGGAAGCTGAGGCGTTTGCGTTCGTTGGTTGAGGGGAAGAGCTGAAGGAGCTGAAGACGGAAAGCCGGCAGGAATAGAGTGGAGCTTGGGGGGGTAGGGGGGAAGGGGGGCGCTTGGAAGCAAGCTGGCCAGGAATAGGAGGAAGGTCATCCAGGAGGCTGGGGGCTGGCGAAAGGAGGTGAGCATGGGTGTGGCTGGAGTGAAGTTTGTGGGGGAGGGAGAGCACACGTGAGGACTTCAGTTATATAGGAATAGGTGCCGGAGCTGTGCTGAGAACGGGCGTCATGGGGCCTCAGGTGGCCCCTTGGGGAGGATGGGGACAGAGCCAGGCTGCAGAAGCGAGAACAGGGTCAGCGGTATTGCTGCAGTCCAGGTGCTTCGGCCCCACTACACACTCGTGTCTTCACATCTCCATATCCTATCTTCATCTGCACACGTGCGCTGTTTTACGTTAGCAGCGCCCAGTAGTCTGGTGTAAGAGCAGAAAAGATGGACAGGGAGACATCGATCCACATTTGGGGTTTTGCCTGGTGGATTCAGCAGGAATGCGGCAGAATAATCACATTCTTAGTCTGTGATTCTTGGCTGGGTCAGGAGGATGAGCAGAGTGGGAAATGCAAGAATAACCCTATTTAGGACTCTAAGGTCAGAGCAGCTTAGTGGTAGCCAGAGGGGAAGGATGCCCAGATTTACCAGATTCTTTGTTCTACTTAGGTACAGTTAGAGGAGCCCACGCGGGTGGGAAATAACATTGGGTGCTAACTGTATGTAGGATGCTCAAGTTCATGGAAGAGACAGGTCGACCTTCCCTGCCCTCCAGGGACTTGCGGTGTTGGTGCACAGTGTAAGGTGGTTGGTGCTGGAGGGGAGATGGACAATAGGAGGGACACCATAGGAGGAGGCCACCAGTGGAGCCCCAGGGAGAGAGTTTGAGGTGTGACTCATCCTGTAGAGTTTGCCAGGCAGACCTGGCAACAGCAGGCGAGTCCTAAAGTGTGGGCCAGGGCAGGGTCTGAAAGAAAGGGCAGGCTGCAGAATGGTGCATTTGGGCATCTTTTCTTGTCTGTCCGTAGCTTCCCTTTAAGTTATTAAGTAGCTAGAGTAAGAGCAGAATTTATTCTTCTGAGAAGTAACCGTTTTATGTGACAGTTGTATTTCCTCCTGTGGTTTTCTATGCGGGTTACCTGTTGTTGAACATTTACATTGTTTCCAGTTTTCGGGGCCCGAAACAAAGTTGAATACACATCTCTGGAAGCTAAATCTTTACACACATCTTTATCTCCTCAGAATCCATTCCTGCAAGTGGAATTGTCTGTCCAGGGTGTAAAATTTTTAAAGGTGTTTCTGATACAACTTGGCCTTCTGAGGTGCAGTTCGAATGAACGCTCCTCCAGCGACACGCTCGAGCGCCCGTTTTCCTGGGGCTTTATCAACTTAGGGTTTGGTGAAATCTGTGTTAACTCGCATGTAGGTGAGACTTGTCTTCTTTCTCAGGGGAAACGGGCTCTGGGAAGACGACGCAGCTCCCGCAGTATCTCTACGAAGGGGGGGTCGGCCGCCAGGGTATCATTGCGGTGACCCAGCCTCGCCGAGTGGCTGCCATCTCTCTGGCCACGAGAGTCTCCGATGAGAAGAGAACTGAGCTCGGGAAGCTGGTACCTCACCTCCTTCTCTGCTGCCCGCCCGCCCGCATGGCGCTTTCCTGAGCCCGGCTCCCGGACGCGGGGAGGCTCGCTCTTGCCCCAGTCACTTAGGCCTGAGTCTCTCACTCGTTCCCCAGACCTCACATGTCTGTGCCATTTGCTTTGCGTTCGGAGTCTGTTGGCAAGTTGGATAAATTAGTTGCTTTCCTCGAGCATTCTTCGGGCTTCCGTAACCTCTGAAATCTCTGAGAAAGCGTAAGGACTTCTTTAGCGAATATGTGGGTACGGAGAACGAGCCCCAGAACTGTGGATACATCAGCTTTGCGTGTGTGTTTATGCATTTCGCTTTAAAGTATTTTGGGCATCTTTTCTTGTCTGTCCGTAGCTTCCCTTTAAGCTATTAAGTAGCTAGAGTAAGAGCAGTTTTAGGTTCCTTGTAGTGCTTATACTTGCAGTTACAGGGACGCGTCGGCTGCCCGTGCGTGCCCAAGGGAGCAGGGGGCCGCGGTCCCCACGAGGGCGCGTGTGCCTGCCTGGCACTGGGCACCCAGCAGCTGCTCAGCCCGCGCCGACTGAACGAGCGGTTCCTCGCACAGGTGGGCTACACGGTGCGCTTCGACGACCTGACCTCAGAGGCCACCAGGATCAAGTTCCTGACGGACGGCATGCTTCTGCGAGAAGCGATTTCCGACTCTCTGCTGCGCAAGTACAGCTGTGTCGTGTTGGATGAAGCCCACGAGCGGACTGTCCACACCGATGTGCTCTTCGGGGTGGTGAAGGCCGCCCAGAAGAGGAGAAAGGAACTGGGGAAGCTGCCTCTCAAAGTAGGTGTGGTTCGTGTCCCGGAGAGGCCCGAGTTCCTTCCTCGGCCTGGCGCCCCTGCCCACCCTGCTTCCGGACATGGGGGCACAGGCCTCACCAGCTGCCCGCCGGGCCGGGGGCGGAGGGGACCCGGACAGGCCCAGCGCGGCCTTGCCATCACGCTCTTCCGTCCCAAACGCAGGTGATCGTCATGTCCGCGACCATGGATGTGGATCTGTTCTCGCACTATTTCAACGGAGCGCCCGTCCTCTACCTGGAGGGTCGGCAGCACCCCATCCAGGTGTTCTATACCAAACAGCCGCAGCAGGATTACCTGCACGCCGCGCTCGTCTCCGTCTTCCAGATCCACCAGGTGCGGGCTGGCCGCGCGTGCGCGCGCAGGCCGGGCTCACCTCGCCGTCGGGGGCGCGCTCGGCCTTGAAACGCTGCCAACCGAAGCGCCCCGTGCGCTCTGCCCGTGACATGAGTTGCCGTGTCCGGCTTCTTACTTTTTGGCATCTCTTCTCTTCTCTAAAATGAAAAATAATTCCTCTCTGAGCGTCCTCATGCCTCGGCTGAGCCAGGACACTTGTTCGGTTAGAGCAGAACGGCGTTCGGTCGTCGGTGCCGGCCGGAGCCCGCGGCACTGCTGCCCGACTCACGTGTGGCCCCTGCTCTTTGCTGCCTGTTGTCGAGGGTTCGTGTCGACCCAGTAACGGGTAGCCCCTTAGAGTTTTGGGTTCTTTGGAAAAACCGAGTTAGAGAAACATTGCAAAATCTCCTCTCATTTTATTAGACGTTTACTTAAGTCTGAGTGATTAAATCCTCTCCTTTTTGTTGCCCTCATAAAATTGAGTGTTTGTACTTCATGTTAACTTTCTGAAAGAACCTAGAGGCAAATCTTTTAAGAATAATTTTGATTTTAACTGGTGAGGGCTTAGTTTAAAGTTTAAAAGGGCAATAGTTTGTTCTAAAAGGATCATAAAAACCAGCGGCTGGGCGCGTGGGCGGCTCAGTCTGTGAAGCGCCCGACTCTTGACTTCAGCTCAGGTCGTGATCTCGGGGTCAGGAGCTCAGCCCCACGGCGGCCCGCGGCTCCTCCCTCAGCAGAGGGTCCGCTTGAGCTTCTCTCTGCCTCCCCGCGTCCCGCTTCCTCGAGTGCGCCTACGCTCTCCTCTCTCCAGTGGATCAAACAACCCAGCCGCTGCTTTTTGTTTTTTTTTTAAGATTTTATTTATTCATTTGACAGAGACAGATACAGCGAGAGAGGGAACACAAGCAGGGGGAGTGGGAGAGGGAGAAGCAGGCCTCCCGCCGAGCAGGGAGCCCAATGCGGGGCTCGATCCCAGGATTCTGGGATCATGACCTGAGCCCAAGGCAGACGCCCAACGACCGAGCCCCCCAGGCGCCCCCCAGCCGCTGCTTTTATGTCCCCGTTCCAGATCCCGGCTGCTTCCTCGGGATTCCCTAGTGTTTCTGACGGTACCTGCTGACACTGCGGGTCTCGGGCAGTTAGTTCCGGCCGAGGGAGGTGAGGCTTTACCCTTACCCTCCCTGACCTGATGCTCCTGCAGCCTCTCAGCATAGATGCATCTCATGGTTTTCAAGCCACCGGTCGGCATTGCAGCTTTGGGACCCCACGTTGCCAGCAGGACCCGTCCCGATGGCTCCTTCCTTGTGCGACATAGTTGTACAAGTTTTCTGCATTCCTGTGGCTCATTTTCTCCCAGGTGTTCCAGCATCTCCCATTGGCCCATCGTGAATATTTTTCTCGTGTTCGCATGCGATCACGTTTCCCCGGAGCGCCTCATGCTGTCTTTCTGCAGGGCAGGTTGCTCCTGAGCCTCGGCACAGCTTCTGGACTTGTCCCGGGCGTCCGGGTGGAATCCCATCCCGGCCTCCACTGTCTCCCGTGTCTTCCTGGCCTCCTGCCCTGTCGGCTAGAGGAGGGCAGCTGGGGTCAACCACACCGTCCTTGGGTTTCCCCCTTCCTGTGACCCACCCCTGCCTCACGCCGAGTCCCAGGCCTTCCTGTCTTCTCCAGGGAGCCCGGCCGCGTCTCGTCGCTGTACACCCTTCAGACCACGCCCAGGCTGGAGCACCCTCTGCCCATTCTTTCCCTCCCCCTCGTCTCTCAAAGCGGGTCGAAACTTGGGATCCCTCTTCTCTTCTGCTGCGTCTGTTGCTCTGGGCTTACTGTGTAGATGGAGGAACGTGCTCGCTTCGGCAGCAGATCTACTAGATGTGGGAACTGGCTTTTTTTTTTTTTTTTAAAGATTTTATTTATTTGACAGAGACACAGCGAGAGAGGGAACACAAGCAGGGGGAGTGGGAGAGGGAGAAGCAGGCTTCCCGCTGAGCAGGGAGCCCGACGCGGGGCTCGATCCCAGGACCCAGGGATCACGACCCGAGCCGAAGGCAGACGCTTAACGACTGAGCCACCCAGGCGCCCTGGGAACTGGCTTCTAAACATAGCTGGCCAACTCAAGTGACAGCTCCGTGCACTGTGGGTGGGGCTGTTCTCCCGGAGGAGACCCCAAGTGTAGGCCCATGTACCTCTCCACGGGGAAGGAAATAACTCCGGGAAGCTTTCTCATGACTGCCGTTGTGTTCCGTGCAGCCTGCGCTCGTCGGCACCTAGTGACCCCACGCTTCCCCTTCTGCAGGAGGCCCCTCCTTCTCAGGACATCCTGGTGTTCCTCACGGGGCAGGAGGAGATCGAAGCCATGAGCAAGACCTGCCGAGACATCGCGAAGCACCTCCCGGACGGCTGCCCCTCCATGCTGGTCCTTCCTCTGTACGCCTCCCTGCCCTACGCCCAGCAGCTCCGCGTCTTCCAGGGGGCCCCAAAGGTGAGCGTGCACCTGTCCTGTGCGGCCCCGTCCCTGGGCACCTGTGGGGCGGGATGCTCGGGTACCAGATGCACAAGCCGCAAAGCCGCAGGACTAGGAGACACAGCCCCAGACGGGGCTCCCCAGCCTGGTGGGAACAGGGAGAGTGGGGAGACCGTGGGGGTGGGGTGGGCAGAGGCAGTAGGCGACCGGTGGACGAGGGGCTCTCCCAAGTCCGACACAGACCAGCCGTGTGCACTTGCCACACCGTGTAGTGCAAGCACCGGCCGGGCCAGGCACTGTGCATACACCCTGCGTGTGCGGCCTGCCCTCTGGAGAACTGGCAGGGTGGGGGTCGGTCTCGTCGTGTAGACACGGAGGCCCCGAGAGGCGGAGCGACGGTGCTCAGGGAGTGCCCGGTGGGGCCAGGGGTCCAGCCCACATCTGCCTGTTCCCCTGCAGCTCATCATCTCAAATAAGCCTTGAAGACGGGAACCTCCCCGCTCAGTGTTAGGAATTCCCGTTAGTCACGTGGATCTGGAGCACGAGTGGACTGTGGAAACTACCGGTGAGAATTATGTTGTGAAACTTCGGAGTCCTGTGCGTCACTTTCTGGTTTCTTCCTCCTTCCAGGGCTGTCGCAAAGTGATCATTTCAACCAACATCGCTGAGACCTCCATAACCATCACGGGAATAAAATACGTGGTCGACACAGGCATGGTTAAAGCAAAGAAGTATAATCCTGGTGAGAACCGAGCCCACGAGCCCCTCTTCTCCCCACAGCTTCTCCCAGCGAGCGCCTCCTGCTCGGACTCGCTGTGACCAGCCGGGGCAGCGCAGGTGACACGGGCCGAAAGCAGGTCCAGGAAGGAGGCAGGCATTGGGATCGAGGGGCCAGGCGGGGCAGGACAGGGGTCCAGGCTTCGCCGGCTCGAGAACAGGGGCCGGGCCTGACCTGAGACCCCCTGAGCAGCTGGGTGAGGGGGCTGTGCAGCCAGGGACCCCCGACACCACGGCGGGAGCTTCGTCGGGCTGGATGTTTGAGCTCCGGGCGTCCCAGGAAGCAAACCTCCCAGGCCGGGGTGAGACACCGGCTGTTCCTGAGGGTGTGCAGTGGGAGCTTGCTGGGCACTCCGGTCCTCTGCTTTCTACCGGGCTTTGTGCTGCGGAGGATTAGAGGCCCCCGAAGTGTCTGATTACGGAGCACGACTCAGCACCCGAGGGTGTGGACTTGGAGTTAGTGCTGGAAGGATCTGTTCGCCCGTGCCTGGCACAGGGCACACCTTTATCCAGGACACGTGTCCTATTCACTCCCGGGAGTGACTCCGTCCCACGTCTCCCTCTTACAGCACAGCTGGGAGGGCGGGTGCAGGCTCGGGTATTGACTGGTGACCAGCTGCCCGTTTCCTGGAGTCGGGGTTTGGGCACCCTTGGGCCCAGGCAGACGGGCGTGGCTGAGCACGTTCTGATGTCCCCGAGACGCGTCCCCCGCCGTTTCAGTGCGGAGCGCTCTGGTTCTGCGCGTTCCCACGCGGCCTTGGGGTTCTGGACTCGTGCTGCAGGAGGCTCACTGGTGTTCCGAGGGATGCTGCTGCTTCTCCCCGCTGCGGAACCCGCGTGTTCGTGTGTAGGGCGAAGCGCTAACGCGGGCCCTTCTCCCCCCAGGCAGCGGCCTGGAGGTGCTCGCCGTGCAGCGCGTGTCCAAGACCCAGGCGTGGCAGCGCTCGGGCCGGGCCGGCAGGGAGGACAGCGGTGTCTGTTACCGGCTCTACACGGAGGACGAGTTCGAGAAGTTTGAGAAGATGACCGTGCCGGAGATCCAGAGGTAGGTGCTCCCGCCCCCCGCCGCCCCGACCCCGGGGCTGCAGGACCGGGAGCAGGTGCGTCAGCCGCGGGTCTGCTCCTCACAGGTGTAACCTGGCGAGCATGCTGCTGCAGCTCCTTGCAATGAAAGTCCCCGATGTGCTCACCTTTGACTTCATGTCCAAGCCCTCTCCAGGTAGGCGGCAGGGCCCGGGTGGACGAGGACCAACTAACGGGTGGGCTCTCCGAAAAGGGTCTGGGGGTCCGCTCGTGTCGCTCGGCTGTCGAGGGGCACCTGGGAATCCCCGGGGAGGTTCTGTGCACGTAAGAGCTCCCGGGCGGGAGCCGTGGCTCGCGTCGGGCTGCGGCGCGGCATTTCGTCTCCGCGCTTGTGTGCTTACTGCGTCGTCGGACGTGCTGCTTGACCCCTCGGCAGGTGGTGCGTGGACGTGGTTGGAACTCAAAGTACGAAGGGGAGGATAGGAAGCGTTTCTCCGCTGGGCCTCGCAGGGCCTGTGGGCGCTGCTGCGCGTCTGTGTGCGGGGTGCGTGCGTGTGACGCAGCGGGGTCACGGGCCATCGCTGCAGGCGGACCTGAAGACGGGGCTGTCGCTGGCCGCTGTGCGCCCGGACCGGGGTGGGCGCCCCGAAGCGCAGAGTGGCTGCAGGCTTTCCTCCTCTCCCGTCTGTCTGCAGATCACATTCAGGCGGCTGTCGCCCAGCTGGACCTGCTGGGTGCTCTCGAACAGAAGGACGACCAGCTTACCCTGACTCCGCTGGGAAGAAAGATGGCAGCTTTCCCTTTAGAGCCCAGATTTGCCAAAGTGAGTCGCCCCTCCCCTCCGTGCCTCTTCTGCCTGTCACAGCTCGTGGGGCAGCCACCTGCTCCCCGCCCCCCCAAGCCCCAGGGCCCCGGCTTCACCTTTACTGTCGCTCCTGAGTAGCTGTGGCCCCACGATGTGTCTGATGCGCTCTGGCCTTGTGTGAGATTCAGGGCCGCGCTAAGTCGTGAGCCCCCCAGGCCCCCAGGAATGTGGGAGCCTGCGGGAAGGCCGTGGGGTTCTGGGGAGCAGGCAGCTGCAGAAACACCTGGCCTCCGAGGCCGCGGGTGGAAGGGCTGTGCTCAGAACGCGGGGAGATCTCGGCACACACCGTTTGTCATTTCTGTGTGCAGACCATCCTCCTGTCCCCCAAGTTCCACTGCACCGAGGAGATCCTGACCGTCGTTTCTCTGCTGTCGGTGGACAGCGTTCTGTACAGCCCTCCGGCCCGGCGCGACGAGGTGCAGGCCGTCCGCAAGAAGTTCGTGTCCGGGGAGGGGGACCACATCACGCTGCTCAACATCTACCGGACCTTCAAGAACCTGGGTGGCAGCAAGGTCAGCCTCGCCCGGGCCTTCTCTCCCGCCGTGCGTCCTCCCGCGCTTGAGCCTGACGCGCGCCGGCCCTTCGGCAGGGCATCACGAGCCGCGCGGTCAGTGCGGGGGGCCCGGCCGCGGCGCCTGCACACAGGGCTCACCGGGGAGGACCACAGCGCCGGCCTCCACCCCATCAGTGTCCCCGTCGGTGTCCCCCTCGTCCTCGCCGGGCAGGGGCCCCGAGCGCTGGGTGGCCCAGCTTCTTAGCTCCGAAATGAGCTTTTCCCCACTTGCCCCTGCCTTTCTCCGTGGCAGCGTTGGCTCGGGGGCTCTTTCTGTTCTCAGAGCCGGATGGGAAGGCGTTCTAGATCCCCGCCGTCTGACGGCAGAGCGCTCTGAAAGCTCTCACAAGCCAGGGTGGCGCAGAGGGGAGAAGCGGTTGTCATTCAGGCGGAGATGGTTTGCCGTGTTCCCAGACCCAAAAAGTAGCTTGTCTTAGGCTTTTCTGAGCCTTAGGCCCCATGTTACTAACAGATGCACAGAAGAAATGCAGCTAAAGCCCCGCGGCTCCTGCAGCGGCTTGATGCCGGAGCGTCCGGCGCAGCTCCCGGGTCAGCCCAGCTCCGGGGGTCTGCACAGCTCCGGGGTCCACGCAGCTCCCGGGTCAGCCCAGCTCCAGGGGTCCGCGCAGCTCTGGGGTCCGCGCAGCTCCAGGGTCCGCTCAGCTCTGGGGTCAGTGCAGCTCCGGGGTCAGTGCAGCTCCCGGCTCAGCCCAGCTCCGGGGCTCCGCGCAGCTCTGGGTCTGCACAGCTCCGGGGTCCGCACAGGTCGGTGGCCCACACAGCTCCAGGGTCCGCTCAGCTCTGGGGTCAGTGCAGCTCGGGGTTGGGGGGTCCACGCAGCTCCGGGGTCAGCCCAGCTCCGGGGTCTGCACAGCTCCGGGGTCCGCGCAGCTCCAGGGTCCGCGCAGGTTGGTGGCCCACGCAGCTCTGGGGTCCATGCAGCTCCTGGCTCAGCCCAGCTCCGGGGCTCCGCGCAGCTCCTGGGTCAGCCCAGCTCCGAGGGTCTGCACAGCTCCGGGGTCCACGCAGCTCCCGGCTCAGCCCAGCTCCGGGGGTCTGCACAGCTCCGGGGTCCACGCAGCTCCCGGCTCAGCCCAGCTCCGGGGCTCCGCGCAGCTCTGGGGTCCGCACAGCTCCGGGGTCCGTGCAGGTCGGTGGCCCACGCAGCTCCAGGGTCCGCTCAGCTCTGGGGTCAGTGCAGCTCGGGGTTGGGGGGTCCACGCAGCTCCGGGGTCAGTGCAGCTCTGGGGTCCGTGCAGCTCCTGGCTCAGCCCAGCTCCGGGGCTCCGCGCAGCTCCCGGGTCAGCCCAGCTCCAGGGGTCCGCGCAGCTCCAGGGCCCACTCAGCTCCGGGGTCAGTGCAGCTCAGGGTTGGGGGGTCCACGCAGCTCCGGGGTGGGGGCCGGTTGGGCCACCTCTGTGGGGCTCACTGCAGAACAGAACACACACTGAGCTGCTTTTGCTTTTCCTCCTTTTCCATAAAAGTGAAAATCCTATTGTGCTGCTTGCAGTTAGCAAAACCAAGTACTAACTCGGGTCTTCCCTACAAGTGAGATGGTGTGATGCGCACTTTCAGAAATACACCTGTATATTCTCTCATTTGTCCGTGAAATCCGCTCGTGCGCCTGCCATGTGCGCTTCTACTCTGCATCGTGACGCAGTCAGTTCTCAAGAGAAAAACAGCCACTGCTCAGGTTCAGTGGTTGTAAACATTCTGCTGTATTTATGTTTATTTTTGAGGAAATAAAATGCTGTACATCCGGCAAAAGCCCTTCCCGCAGGGGTGACCACATGCCCGACTGCGTGAGCACACGGTGTGCTGTCCACCCGCAGAGGTCGGGAGGGTCCCTCTCCCACCCCCTGCCTCTCCGCTGAAGTGATGCGTTTTCGCCGAGTCGATGGACATGAAACCCTGTCATATCTCAGTTCCTTTACATCACTTTGCCGTGGGTCACCCAGAGGCCGAGCATCGTGCGGACCTTCATTGGACGTTCGTAGTCCGTGTCTGCGGGTCGGGTGTTCCCGTCCTTTGTCCTTTTTCCTGCCGAGTTGTTGGTCATTGTCTCATCGATACATAGAAGTTTTTTTCATGTATTCTGGAGTCATTAATCCTTTATTGGGTGTAGTGATGCAAATACTCCAGTCTGTAGCTTTTTTCACGGTGACTTGACATAAGGAACTTTTTTTAAAACTTTTGTTTATTTAAGTAATCTTTACTCCCAGCGTGGGGCTCAAACCCACCACCCTGAGATTGAGAGTCGTGAGCTTCCCCAACCCAGCCAGCTGAGGCCCCTGACAGGGAATTTTTAGATTGTGAAGTATTTCTAGTTTACCCTTATAGTTCACGCTTTCTGATAGAAAGCGGTTTTCCTGTATTTTGGCAACTGACGTCTTCTCTCTGAATTCAGCTGCGTTCTCAAAGTTCTGTTCTTTTCTCTGTGGAAGTGACGGGGTTGTGCTCTTTCTCTCCCGTTCAGGATTGGTGCAGAGAGAACTTTGTCAACAGCAAGAACATGATGCTGGTGGCTGAAGTCCGAGCACAGCTGAGGGATATCTGCTTGAAGGTACCGGTCCTCCTGGTGTCTAGGAGAACTCCTCCCCCGGTCCTCATCTGAAATCCTGGCATCTCCGCTGTGGGGTTCTAGTCCCACTTTCCAGACGCTGAAACTGGGGCCTAAAGAACCTGCGTAGTTTGTCCCGGGAGCTGGCAGCCTGGAAGGAGAGACCAGCAGTTAGCTGCAGGACTCGGGGGCTCCCTGGAGGTGGTGATAGCTGAGATGAAGCGGGTCCTCCGCAGGCGGGGGTCAGTCGATGGCAGAAACCAAAACCCCCAGAGGCATCTTAAAGGGAGAAGTGGGATAGAGCGGTTTCTCTGGGTAGCTGTGGACAGGAAATGGTCGAGCCCCAGGGGACCGGTTGGAGCGGGTGGGGGGGCGCTCTCAGGCGGTTCTTTGCACACGCCTCCCGCTTCCCCCCTTCCGCCTCCGCGGTGATTGCTCTCCCAGGCCTCTCCCCTTAGGGGAGCCGGGGCAGTGGTCAGGTTTCCAGAGCTCCCACTCCTGGCGGCCGGCGGGGTCAGGCGGGCATCCACCAGCGTTCTGGTCGGCTGGTGCCCTGCTCCCCTGGGGCGCAGCTGAGGGGTGGGAGCTTCTGGAACCAGTGCTGGGGGCCCGACCGCGGGGGATGTGGACCCGGGAGGCTCCGGGAGGGCCTCGCTGGAGGGGCGCTCCAGAACACGAAGGTGAATTGGGCCGCGGTTAGGAGTGCAGGAAAGGCCTTCCCCCTGGGCCGCGGCCGGCCATTCATCCCGGGCGGCGAGGCGGACGGGGTTCCGCACCCGGCCGGAGCCCCGGCGGCCCCGCCGACGTCCGGGGCGCCCGTTGAGCCTGACCGGGGTCCGGTCTCTGCTCCTTCCTTCTCCCGCCGCAGATGTCCATGCCGATGGTGTCCTCCCGCGGGGACGTGGAGAGCGTCCGCCGCTGCCTGGCGCACAGCCTGTTCATGAGCGCGGCCGAGCTGCAGCCCGACGGCACGTACGTGACCACGGCCACCCGCCAGCCGGTGGCCATCCACCCCTCGTCCGTGCTCTTCCACTGCCGGCCGGCCTGCGTCGTCTACACGGAGCTGCTGCACACCGGCAGGTGCTACATGCGGGACCTGTGCGTCGTGGACGCCGACTGGCTGTACGAGGCCGCCCCCGACTACTTCCGGAGGAAGCTGCGGGCGGCCCGCGACTGAGCCCCCGCGTCCCCCCTCCCGGGGTGGGGGGCTGGCGCTGGCAGGGCCTGGCGCCGGCGGGGCCGCACGACCCCGAGCCCGGAGCGCAGGGCCCGACGATCCCCGAGCCCGGCGCGCAGAGCCTGGAGCGCAGAGCCGCGCGCTTCTGTTCAGCGGGTGGAAGCTGCAGCCCTGGGCGCTTGGTCCCCGCGGGGCGCTCCCCCCGGAACTGCCGCAGTTCCCCGACTACCGCATGGGGGCGTAGTAGCGTTGTGCGAGGGTCCGGCTCAGGAGGCTTAGGTCCGCGCCGAGCCCCGGATGGACAGACCGTTCGATGCGGGCCATCGCGCCCCGTGTGAATCCCCGAGTCCCTGTGATGGGGAGGATTTCCTGGGAGGGGACTCTGCAGGGTCGCAGAGCTCAGATGTTGTCCTTGGATCTGTCCTCACGTTCTAGAAGTTTGAGGAGGGAAGCGCTGTTGGCTCTCGCCCTCCTGAACCTCACGCCCCTGGGCTCCAAGCGGGGCGGTCGAGGAGTGCTGACCTGGCGCCGTGGCCCCCAGCTGGGCACGTATGACCCCGCGGGCCTGAGGACTGGCCGCGTCTCTCCCGGGTTGGGGCGGCTGGAGGGGGATGGCCGGTGAGGACCCAGCCGCACCTGGGGTTCATGCTCTTGCATCTCATTCTTGGTCTCAGTGCTTCTTCCTTCTTGGGGACAGGGGGACACAGCCTGGCTCTGCTCCTTCCTGCGTGAGCTGGTCCCCCCCTCTGGGCCTCAGGTTGCACGTCTGCCAGAGGGAGTCCCAAGGTCTCCAGTCTCTTCCCGGCCTTGTGTTCTCAGAAGGGGAGAGACACCAAAGGTTCCTCTTCGCTATTTAATTACCATAAGCAAGTCATCTTTTCCCAGAGAGTGTTTTGCCCTAAAAGAAGCCGATTTAGCATTTTTCGTGGGCTTCGTGGGTGTGAACACAGATGTGCAGTATTTCTGTCATTCCTTACCCAGTGGACCATGTGGCTCCAAAGCGGGGGCCACACTGCCCGGGGCACTCTGCAGAGACCGCGGGCGGTCTTCACTCTGGGGCGGGGGCTCGGCCTCTGGGTTGCTCCCCGCCCGAGCACCCCAGCGTCCGGCCAGATACCCCGTCTTCCTGATTTCTTAAGACTTTCAGCTGGCTCTTCCTCAGACCCCCTCGTTCTTTACGGTTGCTGACTTTCTGACGAGTTGTTCAGAAAAATTTTTAAGTGTATTTTGCTCATTTCTTAATAGAGGCCTAGGATGTTCAGCCTGACTGGGGAAAGAATACATTGTATTTTTAATAAAAAGTGAATCATGCTGGTAAACAGTGGGGAGTGGGTGATGACGTTCCTCAGTACGTTCTCTGGGGTTCCCTGGGGTTCTCTGGGGCGAGGGCAGCAGCCGCCCTGCTCAGTACCTGTTCGAGCGGGAGCCCGGGGCACAGAGCTTCCAACAGCTCTAACGTTTCTGTACAGAAAGACGATCGTCGCTGCAACATTCTGGCAGAGTTTTGATACAGTAGTTTTTTTATCGGGCTTTTTAAAAAGTTAATTTTTAACCTAGCTGCTCAGGGATTGAACCAGATTGGAAACCCCATTTTGACTACGAAGTTCTATAAAGAAAGGAACGGCGGTTTATACCGAGCTGCAGGGGACACCGCGCTTTCTTAAGAAAGTTCCGTGTTTCCTATTGACGTTGCATCGCCATCCGTGAGAAGACCTCTGAGGTGAGAGGCCTCTTCCCCAGCCTGTGGCATCTCTCCGGATGAATCACCAGCTCCCCCGAGCAGCCTCGTGGGGGGAGATGCCCTCCCCGCAGACCGCAGGCCTCCCGTGCTCCCGGCGCATGGCCCGTGAGGGACGAACCGCCGGCACCCAGCCCCTGACAAGAACCCTTCCTTGGGCGTCACCTCTGCAGGCTGCGGAGGGCGGGCAGGACGGAGGCCGGTTTTGCTCAGAGCTCCGTGCGCCCGCGTAGTCCCGCCGTCCCAGCGGCCTGACCAGGCCAGGCGTGACCATGGGCTTCCTCTGGCGCGCCAGTGGGAAGCGAGGGCTTTAGATTCCGACTGGACTATGAGAACTTGCAGGAGAAAACCCCAGCTTTGCTCAGGTTTACGTTGTGTTTTGAGAGTCTTCTTGTTGGGACAGACGGCTCCGCGGAATCAGCAGCTCCAGTATATAATGCTCCACTGTGCGCAGGACTGTCAGATCCATTAAAGCTGAACCTTGTCCATCATGTCTGTGGCTCTTTTTTGCATCTCCTTTCACTGCTGTTTAGAATATATTTAAGTACTAGTATTATTAGTCTTCGCCACTCATTTGGGAAGACTGACTTTCTTGTTAGGGAGTGTCGGGCCCGGGGGCTCTCTAAGCACTAGAACCTGACCAGGTGGGCAGGAGTGCGGGGCCAGGCCTTCCCGGGGCTGATGCGCCAGCCCGGAGCCGGGAGTTCTCAGGCTGACTACCTGGGGAGAGGTCAGGGTGGGAAAGGGGTGCCCTCTAAACAGACAGGCGGGGACTTAGCACCTGTGTGCTTAAAGGTCATGGCTCTTCGTGTGTTGCATGTCTAATCAGCATGTTAAATGTCCACCCCGAGGGTGATTTTCAGTGTTCTAATCACAGAAAGTCATTGAAAGTTACGCGCTGGGGTCCACCTTGGCTCAGACTGGTTTGGTGTGGTCTTACTCAGAAAGGGGAGTTTTGTCTGGGCAGGTAGAGGTGGGCATGATGCAGGCACAAGGTTGAAAACGTGTTCTGCTCATGAAGCTTGCGCTCCTCCCAGGGCGGAGACTTTAATCTTGTAATGAAGCGGAGGTAACAGTCCGGCCGGAGAAAGGGCCTGTGGGCGCACTGCGGGGCCGGTATAAATGCGGTGGGGTCTTGGGCTCATCTCCTGTAAGGGATCACGGCCTTGTTTGCTTTTGAAACAGCCCCGGGAGTTTTACCACTCATTTCTCTTTTTTTTTTTTTAAAAGATTTTATTTATTT